TTCGAGAAGAGTAGGGGGTTACCCCGGTGTACTGGTCCATTAAGTCCCCTGTTGTTAAATGGATATGCCACGTAGGAGAGTGATTAAATTCACCTATTGGCATATCCTTGGCACTCGTGCCTAAAGAAATAAGATGAAATGAAAATTTGATGGGGAATTAAACTCTTCACGCTTCTCTCCCTCTCCCCTGCTGGTCCAGTCCATCAGAATATACTGTATACAGAGGATATAATGAATGAGTTTGGCTTAGAAACAAGTAACACCTCAGAACTAGCTATAGGTACTTTATTCATCATCTGTAACCTTGATACATCAAATTGAACTGTAGTCTACTTGGAGGCTGCAAATAAGATCCATATGCATGTACTATTATTAGGTCAACTACTTATCTTCATGGTATAATTTTAGCAAGTTCAATTATAGTATGGTGTTAAGAAGTAAAAATATTAAAACATTTATTCTTTTAAGCGTTCAATTAGTAAAATATATATATTCTTGTAGCAAGTTGCAGTATCTAATGAGTAGAAAATTAAATTAAGTATAAAAAGTTATAGTTGCCCAATTGAAAAAAATTCTTTAAATAAATGTTTTTTTTTAAATAAGCTATTGCCATCAAATTAGTAAGTTCGAAGGTTATAGAGGCAAAGGTGTTTAAGTTACATATTTTGAAAAGTTATGGTATCAAAATGAGGAAATATTCATATTTGTGTCTAGGTGCATTGATTGGGAAATCGTAAAAAGGAGGGAAATCCCTTACACATTCGCTTCCTAATAACTCTTGGCTGTCTGTAATATGAACATATGGCACTTCTTGGCCATTAAAAATAAAAGTCATCTGATTCTGATCAGTTAAAAAAAAGATGTTTTTAAAATCCATCATTTTATTTGATGTCAGAATGTGTTTTAGAAAATAAATTTCTGGTTTCCATATTGAATACCATCATTATATTTCAAAGTGTTGTTTTTAATGTGTTTTTGACTCTTCTTCTTGATAGTTACCCTTCCGTAGCAATAAATAATGATGAAAAATGAATTATTTTTACATTTAAAATCCATCTGATACTCAAAATTTATATCAAGAAAACGAGTTATAAATCTCACCTCCGTTATCTTTATAATTTTTTGTTCCATTATTTTCAGAAATTCTATTTCTGACAAATTACGATTGGTTCATAGGATGTGGATTTGTATTATTCAGTTACTAAATATGTTCAAACTGGATTCAAATAAATTTTAAAATAGTTACATTTATAGGTCTTTCAAAAGGGACTGAAAATTACCAAGCCATAAATAAACCTCACAAATTCCTGATTGTTTTCAACAGGACTTAATTTCATGATTATATTATTTAAATAATATGCTGCCATATCTAGCATATCATATATCCTATCATTTATTTCACCAGTAAAAACAATAAAAAAATGTATGGCTGACTGGCCGGATTGCCCAAAAGCAACGCAAAGTTACTGTCACGGGCCTCTCCTGGCAGCGCATACAGTACAATAACACATAAAACATTCGAGTACAAAAATGGATAACTATATATAAAACCATCTCTTTTAAAAAATTTCATTTTAAAATGTAAAAGTTACAAAAGCTAAGAACAATTTACAGCGCATAAATATATAAAAAAAGAACTTTATAAAATTAATTAGCAATAAAATGGCAAAAAAGGAATAAAATTTACTTTTAAAATGAAGTTTAATGTTATTTATAAAGGGATATAAGCTAAAAACGAGTTGATCCTTGAGATCCAGTGGCAGCCCGAGCAAAATATTTTCCTTGGAAAATAGTTAAAGACAGAGAATTTATGAGAATTGGTTCGAGCAAAATTATTGATAAACTTAAGATGGTTGATTGGTGAGGGCGTCTACATATATTTTCTTATGCAATCGCAGATTTCTCTTCTTACTGGTTAAAATGTAACAAACTCGCATCCCCTACCGCCAAGACCTGCATCTGCCGCAGATTATTCAAAGAGACCTCTACGTGTTACGTGTATCACCATTTTTATTTTACAGGATATTTCATGCATGCCTACGCTTCTGGTATATCAAGACTTCTGAGTCCACAGTATCCGTCTGTCGGTGCAGGCGGCCCAAAATGTTTGACTTTTTGGTACAACATATTCGGAAGCCGGCGATCGGGAACACTCAGTATTTATCAAAGCCTCAACGAAACCTACTTTGGTCAACCAATATGGCAAATAACAGGAGATATGGGGAACGTTTGGCGTCCCATAGAGATAGATCTGACTAGTGACCATTCATTCAGAGTAAGTGTTAAAGCTGATTCATGTACTTTTATGTTTGCGTGTTTGCATCTTGCAAAATACTAAGTCCGTCACTGCAAGGTACTATGAGGGAGTGTCTCAGAAATACGTTAGAAAATATGGTGTGGAAAAAAAATGGTAGGATCAAAACATTGGTCTTTCCAGAAAAGAAACCCTGTAGCTGAGCAATGAAAACAATTTTACAACAAAAATATAACATTGGAAGTTTTTATTTTACTGAAAACTAATGTAGGCCTAAACTATCGTCATTCTCACTTTTAAAATTATTATTGTTGTTGCTAATTATCATCGTCATTTTGTCGTCGTCGTCGATTATTATTATTATTATTATGATTATTATTATTATTATTATTATTATTATTATTATTATTATTATTATTTTTATCATTATTATTATTATTATTATTATTATTAATTTATTGTAACTAAATTATTATCTAAATAGATTGTGTTTGAGGCTGATAGAGAAATGAGAGATATTTCCATATCCATAGACAATATACTCATCTCAGATAATGTCTGTCCTGGCGGCATGTGTAAGTATTCAAATTCAATTGATGTTTAATATTTTAAATATTTAAAAATCTGTTTTCTTTTATTCGACAAATAGATTTAAATCTTCATGTCACCTTTCTTTCCTTTATATTATTTAAGATTTTCCCATTGATTCATTATTTCTTGTCAATATATTGTTTTTCTGTAAATTTGTAGTAAATGTCCAATCGTTTACTTCTTATTATTCAACTTCGTAAATTTATTATTGATAGGTATGTTTCAGCCTTCCTATCTGGTATTTGCCCCGTTTTCTTATTTGTAGTGTGCTCTCAACAAAGAAAAAAGAGAAATGTTTGTTTTGGTTGGATGACCACAAAGCATGTGAAATAATAATGTATTTTATTTATTTATGTATTAATAGATTCTTTAGATCCAAAACTTACGTGTGATTTTGAAAACGAACAATTGTGCGGCTACGTGCAAGATCTGAGTGACGACCTGGATTGGAAACGATACAGTGCGCAAGACGGCGCTTCGGGAGATGGACCAGACGAAGACCATACTTTTGGTGAAGATTATGGTAAGTATCGTATTTATGTATACAGGTGCAGTATAAGGTTAAACATATATTATGTTTCTGAATTTTTTTTTAGTCGTCAATTTTTTAAGCATATTTTCATTTTCGACTTAACCGTGCCGACTTGACAATTTTCGTCTCTTGACAAGAGGCATCGTCAATAGTGCAGCAATAACAGACAATTCATTTTCTCTGATTTATTATGTTCAGTTGGTTTTGGTTATGTTCAATTACAATGAAATATTAATAATACAACCGATTTTCTTTATAATTTCAAAATTATGTTTATGTTGCAACACAATAACAGAAATTCATTGAAGATTTTAGATCAAACTCAAGATTATACTATATTACTTAGTTAAAAAATCAAATTAAAATAGAAAAAATATTTAATTGTATTTATACTAAGGACACGTTTTTAAAAATCGTTTAGGAATTCTTTAAATTGAAGAAAAAATGGAAGATGGAGTGTAACAATAAACTATAAACAACTAAACTAGGAAAGAGAGAAAGAAAGACATTTTTTTTAATCGTTTAGGAATTCTTGAAATTGAAAAAAAAAATAAAAGGAAGATGGAGTGGTACTTTAAAAGAAGACAGATTATGTAAACTTTATTACTATAATGTCATAAATGAGTTTCATTTTCATTTAGTTTGCCCTTTGTACAATGATTTTCGGGGGAAAAATTCCTATTTTTATACTTATCCTTTAAAAACCAAGAACGAACTTGTTTTAACCATACTTCACTTTACACTACAGTAATAAACTTTATTGTTTACAGGTTTTTATATTTGCATGAATCAACAACGTACTCCGAAATTACCAGGACATCGATCACGCGTAATCTCGCCTGTCTTCAATACAAGTTCAGATGACGACGATCATTGCATTAAGTTCTGGTATTTTCTCAGTGGCTATGAAGTTGGGGAAATCAACGTATACATGTACTACGGGGACACACTAGAGACGATGTTTAATGTTGGGGACGACCAGAGTGATATCTGGCACAGGGCTTACTTCCCAGTTCCACCAAACGTTGAAAGTTTCAAAATTGGATTTGAGTCGGTCAGAGGCCAAGGTGACGGCGTACACTGTATTGATGACGTTGAAATTATCGACGGTACATGTGAAACATGTAAGTATTTGAATCTTATACGATATTTAGTATTGCTGCAATACCGGTTTAGTAACCCGAACAGGAAGTTGGATGCGCGTATACACGTGCTTCATTGGCTTCGTTAAAACTGAAATCAATTTTGGTACATTTTGATGTTATACGATGACAAGTCAACACAGTCAACAGTGTGGGCCTCTACTTAAAATTTAGAGGCGCGTATGGTCATAATGCAAAAATTGGCCCCATGGCTGATGTTGTAATCAATTCTCGATCTAGCCAAGCTTTATTACGGTTTTTTTTATGCAAAAGTGATCGACGTAGTGTGTGCCTGGCAAATGATTTGCACTGTCATGCCACTACTGGCAATATTATCTGTGTTGTTATATATGATTATTGTTATCATCATAATCATCATCGTCATCATCATCATCATCATTATCATCATCATCATCTTCATCATCATTATTAGGCATAATATCATATAATTATATTAGGATAATATCGACGAATGCTTGCAGTAAGTTAACATCCACTGTGTTTGGTTTATTTTCTATTAAAACAGTTCTACAACAATTTTAGGAAACTTAGGCCTATTATGTTCGCAACTAATTCTCTCGTGTTTTCTCTTTAGTACTGACCACAGCAGCTCCAGTGATAACTACTCCTGAGCTTTTGATAGACAACGCAAATTGCGATTTTGAAACTGATTGCATTGATATGTATACAAACCAATATTTTGGCGAGTCCGATATAACTTCTGGGGAGAACGCATATGACAAATGGTTAACATCACATTCGAATTCACATTATGGCCGATATCTACCGTCCAAAGATCACACTTTAGGCACTACAGGTAGGATTGTTGAAGTTATAATGAATAAGTTATTGATACGATTAATGACTCAATGGGCCATATTCAACTCAGCCCCACCATTATGATAGTTGGAGCAGAAATAAGAAAAAACGCGCGTATTTGTACGTCTGCTTCTGACCCTAGCAACAATATCCAAGGACATTGGCTTATGGTTTATGGTTTATGGTTTTATATTTATATAGCGCCTTCCACGATCGAAACCGTCTCAAGGCGCTTTATTGACACTGTCCATTGTTACTGCGCCCATTGGCCAGAGCTAGAAAGTGAATGCACGTAAAACACTACATGAATTCCCTAAATGTATTTACAGATTAGTAGTAGTAATATTGTTATGATTATGATTGTGATTCATTATTATTATTAGAGTTATTAATAATGACATTATTATTATTAGTGTTATTAATAATAATTATTATTATTATTGTTATTGTTACTTTAAATATATTATAGCTGGCCATTATATGCACCCCTCCAGGAATTATAACAACAAAATTGTTAGTTTACGCACTCCGATGATGTATCAGCGAAACCACACCAAATGTTTGCAGTTTTATTTCACCTTGAACGACCAGTATAGTACGGCTCATCTCAACGTGTATATAGACGATTCGGCATCTGCTGGAATGCCTACTGATCCAGTGTGGACAAAGTACACCTCGAGTGCCTATAGTGAGTGGACTCTTGCCGAAATAGATATTCTACCGACTGGAGGAGATTTTTCTGTGAGTAGCATACTATTATCTGTACCGTATAGACATGGATTCTGTATTGATTCATATTTCAATAATGATCTTGTTTCCAATAATTTATGAGTTCAACAGCCTTCACACCAACTTCCTGATCAATTCATTTACATTCGTTTTAAGTTATAGATTCAACATCTTTGTTAATACCTAAAGGTTTTAAATGTAGTATCGATTAAATGAGCTTTGAAATTGTTACCATTATTAATAATACTAATTTCATGTCCTTTTTTAATTCTCAATTAATTTGATTACAAATACTTCGGTTACCAAGGAGAGGTTTTTTTTTTTCTACATTAATAAGAACTATATTACAAAAAATCTGCTCTGAAATGTGTGGTTTCGTTTTTGTTCACCAAAAAGGTTATCTTTAATGCTGTGACTGGCTCCGGAAATGGTGTTGATGTGGCCATTGATGACATAGTATTTCTCGACCAGGAATGTTCCTCAGGTAAAGAATCTTTGCCTATATCAATCACTCAGAACAAACATTTATCAATTTCACACGGGGGTTGATGGAGGCTTATGGTTGGGGTTTATGTGTGGGAGCGCTAGTCGGTTAGGTGATTAGGGGTGATTTTAACTACTTGAGCTTAATTTGTTGCTTAACCAATTTCCAGTGGAAAAGGGATGCATACATGTCTAAATTTATTAGTTTCTTAACTAGGCTATTATAACTAAACATTTTTTTAGAAACGCTCCATAATTTATTTGGTTGTGTTTTTGTGCAAATAATTTTACCATATGTAGACTATGTGATGGGATGTGTCTTCAGATATGTCTTACACATATTTTCTTTTTCTGTTCGTTAGTGACGATTGCTCCATGGATTTCCACTATTGATTGTGACTTTGAAAGTGAAGACCTATGTGGTTATACAAATGCATTTTCGGAAAATTGGATACGAATAAATGGATCGACGCCTTCTAAAGACACTGGTCCACATGACGATCATACGACAAATACCGCTCAGGGTTTGTAAATATTTTTATGTCAATATTAACTCCACAATATTTCACCATTCTGATTATTATTATTATTATTATTATTATTATTATTATTATTATTATTATTATTATTATTATTATATTAGTACGGTATTTTACGATCATACTCTTTGACCGAAATGTTGGTATCACGGGGCACTGCCAAGTCGATGATCAAACATTATCATTATTATTATTATTATTATTATTATTATTATTATTATTATTATTATTATTATTATTATTATTATTATTATTATTAGGCCTATTATTGTTGTTATTATTATTATTATTATTATTATTATTATTATTATTATTATTATTATTTTATTACTGTTATCATGATTATGATAACCATCACCGCCTTTGTAATCATCATCATTATTATACAATTATTTTTCTGGGTTTTGTTTTTGTATTTTTTTCTTTGTAATTTTCTCAAGTTTATTCAATTTAAACTATAGTAATTCGTTTTCTTCTATTTTGCTCTATTTTGTAGGTCACTACATGTATATGGAATCATCACCTCCTAATTTTCATGGTAGTAGGGCTAGGCTCGTGTCACCGTACATCAATTATGTTGATGGGCCAATGTGCCTTCAGTTTTGGTACAACATGAACGGAGAGGACATAGGATCTCTTAATGTATACCGGCACAATCCAAGCAGTTCATCGCTATGGTATATGTCTGGAAATCAGGGTCCTGAATGGAAACTAGCCAAGGTTGACGTGAACTTTTTAAGGACTTCGTACTCCGGGGACAAAACCTACGTCGATTTTGATTTCCAAGTGGCGTTCGACTCTACTTTAGGCAAAGGATACAGAGGAGATATAGCTATTGACGATGTTAAGCTTCTAAATCAAGACTGCAATTCAGTACAACCCCAGGCCAGAAAAAGTATTGATTGTGATGCAGAGGCTGGTATAGATGAATGCGGTTTCACAAGTGACCCGCGTTACCGAAGTTGGATGTATTTTGATTATAAGTCATCGGAGGAAACTATAAAAACAGCTAAGTTTCCACCAAGTCTGATGTCAGGTAAGTCGGTATTTTTTAAAAGATGATGGAAAACTGAGCACTACTATGGCCAATGGTCAATGGTCATATATTTATATAGCTTATGAAGCCACAAGAAACAAAGACAAAAGAACGCGAAGGGGGGGGGGGTGTTGGAGTGCCACCCCCGATTTTGAGATAGCGTCGCGATCACTACCGTGTACACGCAGGTACCTCGGCGTCAGTTCCGGTAGCTTCCACCAAGGATAAGCCTATGGCTCCCCTACCGTGCACTGCTAAGTTGCCGGCCCTACCTCAAGTAAGGAGGTGCGACTTTTCAGGGGGAAAAATACTTAACTACAGAACAATATAACTACAGAACAACTTAACTACAGAAATTAACACAGAGATTGGTCTTCATAATCATATTCTTAAATATACAAGTATAATTTGAACCCGGTTTAAAATTTCTCCATTCCACTATTATAAAACTATTTTGCGAGCACTTCGATTTCTGACTGAATTTTCTTGTCTAGCATAGACATATATGACCGACTTGTATATTTAACATCTTAACATTACAAGGAAATAATAATGACAGACGGTGGGTTAATAATCTTCGTTAATAATTCATCTGCTTTTTATGTTTTGTCATTGATCTGTGTGTTGTCCTTCCGTGGCAGCAGTCACTGGATAACTTCATTATCGAACTTATTATACTTTTATACTTATACTTATTATTACTTATTAACTTAGTCGTAGTTCAGTGAACTTCGACTCGCCTGTATGTGAATTGTAGCCTAAGTTGAATTGCGACTATCCAGTTCAACACCAGTTCCAAGAAGAAAATGAATTAAAAAACGTCTTATATTTTTCAGAATACAACTCGTTTCTGTACTGCGATCAAATTTCCTATAATAGCCATACTCTTTTGGTATCGCCTCCAGTGATGCCGGCACCAGAACATTGTTTGACTTTCTCTTACATAATAAAAGGCGCCAATCTTCGTGTCAGTGTCAAAAAGAAGGCATCAGAATATATGGACATCATCGCATTAAAGAAAGAGTTATCACCGCTTTGGAGAAGTATACAAATTCCTATGATTGTCAATACAACCGACTCTTTCACGGTAATAATTCATTTTCATATTCCAATTATTCTGTATTTGTATATTATTGACTCAACAAATAGACCTTGCCACATTATAGGCCTAACGAGTAACATTAACAAATTGATAATGGTTTCGTCATCTGCCCTCTGCGAAAACAACGTGTACATTTTAGGCTCTTTAAGGCGTACACGTAGATACAAAGTGCGATACGCATAATTTGAGGCGTAGACCTGATCTTGTAAATATGGTGACATTGTGTAAACATTATTATAGAAGAATATCGTAGTATTTTGCAACAGAGTGTACACTTGTGTTTATGTTGTTACCCGAGATTATTATAGACTGCCGTATGTGGCCAAAAATGCTGATGTTACCTAAGCCCAATTAACCAAAATCTCAAAAATAATATGGTCAGCTTGTTTTTTTGGGAAAATATAAAAACAAACCAATTCCTTGTATTATGTTAAAAGCCACTTTTTAACTTTAGATAATACATTTCGTTCCTTAACTATATTGTTAATTTAAAATATTAACCTAGTTTAAGTGCAGCGTAGTGAATGTAAAGTATAGTTGAGAACAAATTAGTTTTGATATGCAGTTAGCAAATCCATTGTGAAGATAGGCCTAAAGATCAAATTAGGCCTATAGCTAAGATTAAGAAAACAACCTGCTTTACATGTAGTTAATATCAATTTCAGATTATGTTAGTTATAGGTATATATATATATATATCTGTCTCTTATATATATATATATATATATATTGTACATAGGCCTATATGTATTTATGTGTGTAAGTGTCGTGCAATATCAAATTGTGAAGGTCGTGAAATTATTTTTTAAGAAGTTTTGAATGTAGTTCAATCAATTGTGTAACTTTTTAGTTATGTGCTTGTGTTATAAATGATGTCGCTTCGTATTGATTTTATAATTCAATTCAAATATAACAAATTGTGTCATCAGTAACATCGTCGTTGCAATTATTTGTGACGTCATTAAATTACTTTGCAATGACGATAGTGATTCTGCATTGTTTCAGGTGATGTTCAAAGGAGAATATTCATCGTATCATAACTTTGTTGCTCTGGACGACATCAAGGTAATGCCCGGAAGATGTCCAGGTAGGTGTTTAAAGATTCACTTTAGCGGAAAAAAAAATCATTTTTTCGTTTTTATTAGGTTGAATACATTAAACGAAGAAACTGTGAAATAACAACAGCGCTATATATTGTCATACAGCTACAGTGGTGTATCTAGGAGTTCGAGATGGTGGGGGTATGGGGCAATGTGAAGTGTGAGCCTCGATGATTATATGAAGTGAGGGGGCGATCATTTTTGCTACATTTCCAATTGGGTGGGTGGGGGGAAGTTCCAGGCGTTGTCCTCAACCTTTTCCCCTCCGCGCGCACCTCTAGCTAGATATGTCACTGTAGCGCTGTAGTTGGTACCGTAGTTAATTAATACCTTACATTTTAAATGCTCGTCTTCTAAGTCCACGTTTGTGTTCAATATCATGTCTTTTTATGCGTGCCTTATTGACCGTGAACATTATGGGCTGTCAAAATCCTGGATAGGCGAAATCGTAACATTTAGGGTCGTTAAACATGAGGGCTGATATTAGATCTCTGCATAATTAAACATTTTTTTTAATTAAAGATTTTTTTTGCATAGACCTATGTTCAATTTAGGCCTATGTTGATATTCTTACGACCAGATCACTTTTCAATGTCACTGACAAATTATTACATACTATTCAAGACCGTATATTTCAAACCAACAGACGCTATCCCTGTCGAGAAACTTGCATGTGACTTTGAAAAAGATTGTCGATTTGTTGTCAGCGACGCCGAAGACTACGCGTGGCAGATATCCAATAAAGACGTGCATAATAGACTACTACCATCATACGACCACACCTTTGGAACACCCTCAGGTAATATATGTTTAATTTACAGTCATTATTCTTATTAAATTGTCATCCTATCATTATCATTATCGTTATCATTTTCATTGTATGTATTGTTGCTGTTATAATTATTTGTATTGTTATTGAATCATACTTTCAAAGTTGTAAGACACCAATCCCTGTTGAGAACGAATTCACGAAAACTAAGGTTGGTTTCCCTAACACACACAGTAGATAGTGCCAATGCAAAACTCCAACATATCAATAAAATATATAATAAAATTTATCATACACTGTATATATAATTTGTTGATATATTATATTAAAATAGTCAAAAATAGAAGCTATTAATTTCAATAAATGGAAAAAATATATTTCATTCAATATAAATAATTAATTGGACTGAATGGATAAATTAGTTTACAGTACACATGGGATTATTATTCACAAGGCATATAACCTAAAATTTACTCCAATACCCAGTATGTAAAATTATACATTGAAACTCAATAGAGAAATATATATAGGCCTATACAGTATTTTTGTAAAGAATCCTCTGCTTTTGTCGTTTTTTTTTACTCATTTCACCCTGCCTATACTCACCAGTTGGGATTATTTGCTTTCAGGTCACTATTTCTTCATATCATTTGGAAGAAACTATCATGGTGAAGATCGTAGACTCCTGCGTACCCCACTAGTCAAACAAACCGGAAGTAAACGCTGTCTGCAGTTTTATTTTTACATGGATTCGTACAAAACAAATATGCTGAATGTTTACGTCGAAGATGCATCCCTTGGTCGCCTCCACGGAGATCCGATATGGAGAACATATGGTAGGTCTGTTGATGCTTCCCAGTGGATTAAGGCTAGTGTTGATATTATGCCAACTGAAGAAGATTTTTCTGTAAGTATTTTGTTTTTTCGGGATTTTTTTTTATAAGATTCATTCTAAAATGGTTGCTTGAACAATAAACATTTGGATTTCTGCTAACCAATACCAGCTTTGATTGACGAATCAAGCATGTGAATTGACTGAATGGAAAAAATAATTTGTGGATTAAAATATGCCTAACACTTTTGAAGTTTTTTATATCTATGAGGACAATCATAAATATAACGGAGAAATACAAAAATGTAATACTATATTAATAGTTAGTTCAGGTGAATTTGACCACTTGCTTGGTAGACATTTCAAAGAAATCGACAATATTTCATGTGTGTAGTTAAGAAAAAAGAACCAAACAATCCTTAAATTAACTACAGTACCTACGCAACGGTGAAGATTCCAAAATGTAATGTGGGTCTAATCTGTACAGAATCGGTTTATTCCACATAAGACTTGCTAATGTTTAATATATTTTTCGCCCCAAGTTGTCGAACGCGATCCTTTGAAATTTACACGTACATTTCAGCAACTTCCCTGTGCTTGAGTCAACACCGTGTAACTTGAATGAGTGAGTGAGTGAGTGATTGAGTGTGAACTCACTTTGAAACTCTCGTTTGTTACTACGGAACTAAATCTCTGTCCAGACTATCAAATTTTATTTGACAAAACATGTAATATCCCTATATGGTCATGATGAAATCACATCATGACTATATACAGACAGCTTTAAAGAGGTTGTGAAAATCTCATCAGTGAGGTCGTAATCAATCCTACTACATATCTTTAATTAGAAATTTTAACTCCAAAGTTCCTCTTTTAAGACAATCATAATAATGTTTATTACAGGTTGTATTTGAACCTATCCCGAAGCCCTATCAAGAAGCGGCAATTGCCATTGATGACGTCATAATTCTTAGGCAGAAGTGTTCTAAAGGTATTCTGTAGTTTATTCATATTTGTAGTTTTATTTCATTTCATTTATTACGTATCAGTATATATTAGTTTCCAGTCAATGGCAGTAATGTAATTAAAAAAAATATTGATAGACAGACATCCTAAACAATTTTTACAATGATAGTAAGAACAGTAGTTTCTTTTTAATTTATGATAATATTTGATATAAACTAGTATGATAATAATATATTAATATTAATGTTTTGCACAATTTAATGCATTACACTTACTGGTTAATTTAGCGAATTTCTGATTCCTCGATATCTCTGATGTACTCAAACCAATTCTCCCGAGTGCTTCAATCTCGAAAATGTGGTTACGTTATGTAAATAATGTACATTTTATTATTTACGGTTATTAATGAGTGTATGGGACATTTTTATGACGTATGCCACTACTATGATATATAATAATGTAAGACTCGTATGAATACTTTATTTATTAGTAATTGAACAAGAATGGAAGTCGACAGTGGATTGCGACTTCGAAAAAAACAATTGCGGATATTCAGTGCCTAAAGATAAAGGAAAGTACCCGCGTGACTTTCAATGGCAGAAAAATGCTGGCATGACAAAGACCTACGATACTGGACCAAATACTGACCATACGTTCGAATTGAGTGACGCTAAAGAAGGTAAAGTATTATTTACGTTGTTCTTTTGTTAGGATTTCTATAATAGTTTCAAATCATAGACCACCTTTTGAATGAATTTGCAGTCCATTTGCTCTAAAATAGTAGTACTGTACAATATAATCTTCTTCCACTTCAGGCTTTATTCCCACTTCTAAATGGGGTCGCCGGTGCGGGTTCCCGTCCTCCACATATTCCAGTCTAATGCTATCCTCATCTGTCAATCAAGGATCCCTCGGAAAATAAATCTTGTGTTGGGATTTAGAGTGTTATCCCAGATATCAACATTGATGACTTGCTTGTTTTCTCATTTTTACTTCTCTGTATTTTTTTTCCGGTTTTTGTGATGTTGTTCTGTTGATATCTAATAAATCAAATCAAACGCCGTTGCTTTCTGACAGAGTCACTCCACCTCCGTTTTTGGCCTCCCTCTCTTTCTGGTCAACCTTCAACTTCATAACACGGTTTCCCACATACGTCTGCTCCCTGCGTCTTACGTGTCTCCACCGTCGGAGTAGTAGAATAAAATTGTATATAACTAATTAGAGATTACGAGTAAAGGGTAACTTGAACTGGGGTTTTTTCTTGGCTCCTCTTCCTGGTCTTATTGTTGCCATTAAAAATATAACGAAACTTAATTGTATGAATAATATTAACCAAAAATAAAACTTTTAATAGTAATTATAATAAATAATAATCATTCATTTTAGTTAGCTATGTGCTTATTTTTTAATTATTATATTAGGGTAAATGGGGACTTTCAATTATCATCAGCTATTGTCGGCCCTCTGCAGGACGAAAACCTCAGCATATTGACGCCAAATCATTCTCTCTCTTGTTGTGTTTCTCCAATTTACTCTTCTCCTATACTTATCGATCTCATCTCTCCATCCTTTACCCTGTTCCTTTTGCCATCCACGGGTTTCCATTCTCTTACTGATATTGTCCATCTGTTGTCTGACATTCTGCTAACATGTCCTGACCACTTCCATAACATTTAAATGCGTACACCTGAGTGAAAACATCTTGGGAATTGGTAAACATTTGAATTTCCCTTTCCTTGAATTTTTGATGTGATAAATGTTCCTTATGTTCGTAGGTAACTACATGTACATTGAGACATCGCCACCACGAAAACCTGGAGAAGTTGCGATTCTTGAGAGCCCACTTGTTCTACCCATCAACACTTCTGTTTGTCTCGAATTCTGGTACAACATGTTTGGTGAAGATACAGGTACACTTGAAGTGTACAGAAGCCAGCCAGCTATGCCTAGCTACACCGGCTACAAATTGTTATGGCGGAAACAGGGGCAACGTAGCAAACGATGGCTGAAGGCTGAAGTGCCGTTAAACACAAACTATAAAGATGGACATAGAGACTTTATTGAACACACCAGCAAGGTACAAATGAAAAACAAATTTTATGTAAAACATTTCATTTTGGCGTTTCTAATATCCATTCAAGTTCATATCCGACTTCGTTGGTATTTTCAATAATGAATTAATTACTTAAAAGATTTTGTAAAAAAGAATTTACTTACTGATGATATTTTGAACACCTTTTGCTACTTTACAGCTGTGTCTGTTTTTCTGTAGGCATGTTGGTTTAAGGGTATATTCCTCTGAAAAAGTTTTTTAAATTAACAACTTAATTTTTAACTATTATTTCTAGATTCATTTCAAAGGGACGGTTGGATATGGATATAAAGGAGATATTGCTATTGATGATATCAAACTCGTTTTAAAGTCATGTGAACCCCCTCCCAAGCCAAGGGACCCTCCTCCAGTAAATAAGACGATCTGTGATTTTGAAAATGGCGCCAATGAGTGTGGCTTTCAAGACTTTGGCGAAGAAGGAAGCGGTGCTGAATGGAATTACTTTAACGCCTCTTCAGTAAAATTTGATCCTACAATTGAAAATGATGACCCTAGAGTCAACATGTCAAAAGGTATATATCCAAAGTTTTTGTTTTTCAGATTGCCTTTTCATTTGTTTTGTAAATAACTCATGACGAAGTAGAAATACACTGTAGATTGGATTTAAGTAGTTTGGTACCGGTATAATAATGATAAGCTAGTACAGTGCCAATATAAGCTAACATTACTGAGATTTCCGTATTTCCATGTTTGGATGTTGTACATGGTTATGCATAGATGGAAATGGAATTAATTCATGATGATGATGAATATTAATATTTTCTGCTTTAATAATTACAGGCAAAAAATCATTCATATTTGCTGATGCTTCAGAACTAAGAGCTGGTGAACATGTCATAATAATGACGCCCACTGTCGCCGCCAACAACAACTATTGTTTGGTGTTCTCGTATGTTGCAACAAATGATTTCATCATCAATATCTACAGCAGAAAAGATTCTGGAGAAGAAAACTTTATCAACCAACTTACGGGTGAAGATGTGTTGAGTTGGACCACCAAAGCCGTACATGTACCACCTCATGCAGAGCCTTTCAATGTAGGTATTCATTTTATTCAAATCTCTGCCACTGAGTGGAATTTATCACCTGCATGTTGTAAGCTTACAGAAGACATAATCTATTCAGAAATCATCAACCTTTCATCAACCATTCCGAACGTTACAATATATATAATTGTGTAAAAGATGATAATCCAATTCAGCTTTAATGAAGCGTAGGGATATCTTCTCATACTTCCTAAGCAAACAAATTGGCTTGTATAATTGGCATATATATGTATGTATATGTATATGTATATATATATATATATTAATATATTACATTATATATTATATGTATTTGTATATATATAATATATTAATATATTCTAATATTATATATATATATATATATATAATATATTAATATATTATATACTGTAGGCCTATATATTCAAAACTGAAAAGCATTCCTAGCTTAGCTGTTGAAATTTATCATGACAAATAGAAAAACAAATTCAGGATTACATATTTGTGTCCACGAACTTTTAGATTGTGTTTGAAGGCGTGATCGGGCGTGAGGATGATGGTTTTCTTGCATTGGATGATATACAAGTTCAAGATGGCGAATGTCCTACAGGTAAGATTAACCCAGACAAGACTATCATTCAATGTCAATCACAAGCATTATAATAAGATAGAAGATTTTAAGCTGGGTCATCATAGTTTTGTCTGTCAGACTGCAACATCACGTGCTCTCGCTCAGACTGGTGAAGTAGAGCAGCCGACTTCCAACAAACCTCTAAATACACACAATTGTTATTAATCAGCTAAAAAAATTACGGTGTTTTTTTTTTTATCAAATTATTATTGACTGGTGAATATGTTAGTAAAAAATAAATGTAATAGTTGTTCATGATATGCCAAGCTTTCTGCAATATCGACAGTTATTAATAATTTTGAAAATATGATTTTTATGCCATTTATTTTTCTTTTACTTTCTAGTTTATGTTAAGAAACCAGTTTTAATGGTAAACAATAAAAGTGATAATTGTTTCATATGTGAAAGTGTTGATAAAACCTAACTAACCTATAGTGAAATTCTGTATAAATAAATCAATTAGTTTATCTGTTGAAGCTTTGGTATCACCCTCCCCACACCCCCCTCCTTCTCCATCACAAAAATATGTGGAATATCAAAGTGTAGAATCATAAATATGGGCTACTATATCAACCATATGCCAATTATACTAATTTGATACCAATTCCTTTTATTATTATTATTATTATTATTATTATTTTTATTATTATTATTATTACTATTATTATTGGTGTTATTTTACAGGGGCGCCTGAAGTTACTGATTCTGTAAGAGGCATCGCTGATGACCTGAAAGACGAGCCCACACAGGACAAATCCCAATCGACCGTTTCAACAGTTGTGATAGCACTCCTTACTATCACTTTACTTGTTGCCTTTGCCTTTGTAATATTTCTTGTCCTTGTGGTCAAAGGATATAGGAAGAGGCTGTCTTCTTCAAATTCGATAATAACCGAAAGTGGAAAGGAGTCTGGAAAAAAACCATCCAATAGTGAGAACCCATAATTATGTCATCGATTTTTCGCCGCAACTGTTCTTCGCTAAATAGTAGAAAGATATTACATGTGTGTACATTTAGATAAATTGCAGGTCAATGAAAATATAAGATTTTATGTGTCATTTATATTTTAACTCATTTCAAGCCTTTGGAGAAGTTAAGTATACGAATGATACATAATGATATCACTTCGAACCCACAATGCAAAGTGGCAAACAATTGCAATGTATGAGTTACATTCCGTATGCTTAGATCTGTAATATTAGATACCGCATTAAAGAAACAATAATGAAATTATCTGCTTTATTATATAACTAAAATTATAATAAAAGTTTGAGTGTCGCCTTATAACTTTATTGTGGTGGTACAGTAGTTGTTTGATTGTCAATTTAGTTTTGGTTGAAATTCTTTCACAAATTAGTCATTGGTCACTATTAATTCTAGCTCTTAACCTAGCTCTCAGGTGGGCAAAGTGTGGCCCGTGGGCCGTATGCGGACCGTCAGCGATTTTTTTTATGGCCCGCGACAATGAATTAAAAAACCGTATGTTTGCGGCCCGCCAATCAAAATTGGCTAGAAAGCACCTTGTTTTTTTACGGCCCGACACCAATAATATGTAAAAAGTAACATTAAAACTGAGAATAAAGGTGATGTAAAAGCAGTGATTGGAGGTTTTTGGAAGCTCACTGGAACATTAAAGTTTGAGTGCGGCCATCGGTGTTCACTTTGGCCCTCCGACCGATTTTTATCATTATGCGAACTTTTGACCTAGCCCATGTTATAAATAATGAATGTATTCAATCTTCTTCTTCTGCTGTTCATATTGTTCACCAAAAAAAAGTTTACACTTAAAATATCTCATTGTTTTTTTTGTTTCAATCAATTTTGGCCTATAATCACTAATTTCATACGTCACTTAGACACCCTGAATTTGTATTAACAATCATAGACCTACTTTAAAAGACCATCCGTGATATTCTAAATAATAGAAAATTTTCTATAAGAAGTACAGCATATCAAGCAGAGCAGCTTCATGTTTTCTGCACCGTAGCGTGGCTTATCAACTTCTACTTCACCGAGACCAATAACAGACGTCCAGGGGACCTCCAAGAGCTACTATAATCACAACTCTCCATAACGGCCTTAAAAAGATCTGGCTCATCAACACTCAATACTGTATCCAGACCAACTAAAAATTAAAAATGATATGGAAAAACTAAGATCACTTGCACAAAACAGACTTATATGGAAAATGTTCATCAAGGCATTAAGGCGGTCGAAGCGGAACTGTCGTCTGACAGGGGTGGCGCAAGCGGGGGCCGGGGGCCAGGGGCCAGGGCCCCCCTGTCGTGGAGAGCTCCCCCTCCCACAGTCGGGGAGATAAAGCACAATTTGGAGGGGAGAAAAAAAATTATATGTATTTTCTACATATTAGTAGACTCTAAAATCGATTAAATAAGCCTTTGAAACCCCTAAATCGTCAAATTTTTCGGACCATTTTCAAAACCTTTTAATCGAAGTGCGACCACGCCCACTTTGCTTTCGTCGGGGAAATCTGACCCCTCGTCGGATGAATCGGCCCCCGGTCAGTGATCTTCTCCCCCCCCTCCCTGTCGGGCAAATCCTGGCGCCACCCCTGTCGTCTGACGCTTCGGCGATTGCGGCGATGATGATGATAAGCGTTGCTTACTAAGATGTCCGCATATCAGCAGAAGTTGCGAGTACCAAGGGACGTTTTTACAAATCACAGCAATGTGATGAAAAACACTCCAATTGTAACACCATTTCATATTGTAAAACTATATAGTACTACTGTAAGGCCTACCTGTTACCTCTAGTTAAAAACGTATATACAAAAAACCCCTTTATTGTAAACACTCTATATTACGCAAATGACACACATTTTTTGGATTTACGGTATAAAAAAGTTTGACAGATCAGCTCTCAAGCCGATAAGAAGTCATTATAATTTATTATGCCATGCAATACAAGAAATGTGGTTGTTCACCACACAAACAAATCGATGCGTTTATGAGATTTTATATATATGTCTCCAGTTTTGCAGTATTGCATTAACATTTTGCGAACCGTGACATTCACAAACCAGGATAGACTCCCAAACATGGACTTTAATATCCTGTTTATACAATAGTTGTCACTAATAAATGGCTTCAGTGTGAGACAGTACCTTCCAAATCAGCAATCCCAAATGTTCTCTCTTGAAAGAAGACAGTCTAGCCTCCTTTAATGTTCAAACTTAAAAAACAACCACCTTTCTCCTATGTCCATGAGCAACATAAGATCTTACCACCCAAAGAGATACCAAATCATTACGTGTAGTATACTTGTCTATATGAACTCTTTTTCCACGAACAGTCAACTGGTGGAACAACCATCCTAGAATCGTACTACTTTCTATTAAATTACGATCGCTGATTTCCGCAAAATAAAATATATATGTTTTTACACGGCGTTATAAACGCCCTAATTAGAGCGTTATAACACTGAACTAAAAATACAATTTTTTTTATTATTTGGCGGACATCAGCCACCGTAAAAATTATGTACATAGTCTGAGAGCATGCTCAGAATCTCTTCTTGCTTGTGCTACTCAGCCTTCAACAAAGTATTATGGAAACCCTTCCTTCCTGGGCTTCAGCTTTCCTCTGGAATACCCTACCTACATCCGGCAAACAAAGTTCTTTATTTACTTTTCTTAACTTCTTGGCTTTTATTTTTTTATTGTTAAGCACATTGAGGCTTTATCGTATAATGAGCTATATCTAGATTTAATTATTTTTATGACCGGGTATTTATTATTTCAAAAACAATAACATTAATAATAACCTCTCGCCTTCACAGCACTTTTTTCATAGAACTGATTACTGTATTACATGCGCATATATATTCAAATAAATTATTTATTTATGTATTTACAGAAACATGATGTAACATGGTTTATCAACGAATTTGTATAAAAAAAAAGACATTATGTCGTGGGAACCGAACCCGCAATTTGTCGTTATCTCGTCGAGCACCATACCTTTTAAACCACAGAAGCCCGTACAATGTCATAACGGATCTACGACCAATAGTCTCTATCCATTTTTATGGCTTGAGGGCTCACAGATAGTGGAACTAATTTTCAAGCTACTTGATAGCTAATATGCTCTGGTAAATCATAGGTAATAATATTTGATTTGAATATTATA